GCTAACTAACGCTTTTTTACCGTAGGTTTCAATAAATTTTCGGCCTGGTTGAGCCGTTATATGGCTGTATAGAGTCTTCTAAACTTTTCTTTAATTTAACATTAGATGTGAACTCTATAAGCAACCAGAAGGTAATCAAAGTTCTCATCGAAACGTCTTCAGATATACATACCCACGGCTGTCAGGAGATGTCAAATTACGTTTCAGTCTTTGCCTGAAAGTCACGTTTGCTTAATGCGCTTTGCTATAGTATAATTGCTCGTCTGGCACCTCATTCGCACTAGCCAAGTCGTTCTTGTCACCACTCGTTCCTTCTGGGTTCTCTTATGTAGACCAAATTTAGCAAAAAACTTTATTGACTACTGCGGTAGATTCTGAAAACTTTCACGGTGCGCGTTTGATTTCGACATTTTCCATAGAAGACTTTTTAAAGCTTACATATGACAGCCAGTGCATCGTTCTATCTTTTCTTGCTGTAGACTTCCGTTTAAAACTTTTACGAGTCAAATTTTTTGCAGATTTTGGGTAGTTCAGAGTTTTAGCAGCAGCATGAATAGAAGCTGTCATAGAGCTGCAATTATTTTCATTCATCAACAAGTTTCTTCTTGCCAAAAAGCAGAAGCCAGTACTTGAAAAGTAGAAACAAGCAAAAAAATTGTTTTTAACGTATTACATTACGTTTTGGGCTTCTCTCGTACATTTTTTATTTTTTTTCTGGCTTTTTGAAAACTGCCAAGAAGCATTTTGGGCTGTCAGGTTGCCTCTAAAAATGGAACATACAAAAGTTTTGTGCCTTTTTTTCTGTACGCTAAAGGTGTGGCAAATGCGCTTCAAAATACAGCAACCCTTTTTGCTTTACACTGTCTGAGTAAAAAGTTATTTTGATTCAAAATGATAACTTTTAAAAAATTTCTATTTTTATTTGACCAATTAGAAATGTTTGTCGGTAGCTGCGGTTTAGTTCACAGTATGGTAGTTGTTGCATAAGATATGAAAAGACAGGGTTAAAATTCACAACCAGTAAAATACAAACCTTTATTAGAGAAGGTAGAGTATTCCAGGAGTTTATTGCCAGTATAGTACGGCGCCGAAATGAACGTTGTGAATTTTAGCTCTATCTGAAGTCTAAGTTCTTCAAGTAATATTAAAACAAAAAATCTGTGGCTGTATTTTGCAGGAGTGGTTCTAACATTCGGTGAGTTGCGGTGAGCTGTTATATTGGAGACTTTCTTTTGATATTTAAGATTTGTAACGATGGAACAAATGAAAATAAAATTACAAGTTTGTGACAATGAAGTGTCGATAAGTTCCTTTTGGACGTCTAGTTGTTTGTAGCGACATCAATAAGAGAGCATAAAAAACGAGCTTAAAGTAATCTCACTATTCTAATTAGAAAAAAACTTGAACGATAATCAATTTTCTAATTAATTTAAAACTGAATGATAGTGAAGATATATTTGGTGTTTTTGTAGACTCTCATCTCACTCTCGAAGGCACTGCAGAGGTGGGCTGTTAACGCAGATTATTTTTAAAATTTTGTATTTAGAGGACTGTGGGCATGAAAAAGGGTAGAGGATTTTTTATTTGACATCAACTGTTGATTTTTTCTAGCTTTTTACAAAAGGTGCTAGCGTCATCTTTTTTATTATTTCTTAGGTCAGAAGTGCTTCGTCACTTTTAAAAATAAAGGAAACTTTGTTAAAATCATTTTCACTCAAAGTTTTGTTAATAACTAACACTTTCAAAATTTTTTCAAAAACTATCAAATTTACCTAAAAAATGTTAAGTTAATTAACCACTGAGTCAATAAACCTTCATAATTTTAGGGGAAAAAGCTAGCTGAATAATCAGGCAAAAACTGATGACAGTAAAATAGCGATAAATATCAGTTGACCGCAGCAAAAAAAAATAATACTTTTAGTTGTTTTACCTTATCTTCATTGGTACTTCTCGTACTTTTCTCAACCTCATTAATCATTATCTTCTTCTGAAGTAAAACTGATTCTTGGCGTCTGCTTTCGATAATTTGTTTGAAACAAAAAATTGTCTAAAATACATCATTTTGTTTGTAACGCAACGTCATGGCAAAAAATTGGCTAAAGAAGAGGGCAAAAACTGATGAGAATATTCACCAAATAGTAAAAATAAAAGTGTAACTAAGGAACGAAGATAATCACTCAGAAGTATTGCCTATAATACGCAATAATATCTTAAGAATTTACCAGGAAATTTTTATAAAAACTTTCAGGAATTATTGGATACTAAGTAATAAAGTTTTTCTGCATAGTAGAAAACTGTTCAAAGTTATATTGAATTATAGTCCTTTTTCAAGCTTTTCTATCGAAATTCCTCTGATATTGGCTTTGGAGGTAATCTGTTTGGAAACAGAAATGTGAAATATCTGTAACTTTTTTTGCGCTGTTTTTTTAAATACCAGTTAAAAAATATTTTGCTTTTCTTGTCACTTTTATTTCAAAAAGCAGTTAAGATTTTGTTGCTTCACTGCTGAAAAACGAATTTAAAATAAGTTTTTTGTAAGTATTTTTGAAGTTACCACTCTAAAAAAAAATTAATTTGTAAAGAACCAGGTGAAAAACCCAAAGAAGGCAGACTTTGAGTCTTATTAATAAACAAGGGAAAGGACTATAAAACTAACAGATTTGGGAGGATGTGACAATGTATCAACCCTTCGCACCTCGTTGTCTGTTGATTATTAGTTACTTTCTTCTGCTCTATACAATTCTTTCTATTGTTGCCTTTTTCCTGTTATGAAATTGTTAACTGATAGTGCTCTACAATTACACGTATTCTGTCTGTAGGTTTAGTTACCTAATTTTGACCTAACGAGTAAAATATTGCCTAACAACGCTTTTGACAAGACCCATGAGGTAGGAGTTAGTGGCTTCTTAACCGAACCGAGTCACTGCAAGTAGCGAAGAAGCAACAAGGAAAGATATTCACTTATCTAATTCTTCTTTACAAAATCTATTTTACGTATGCTTTCACTAGAAAGAAGACTGTCTCTATTAGTCTTTGTTTCGTTTCTGCATTAATGACTTTCAGAACAGATAGTCGACAACAATCAACAGAACCACTTAGAATGAAAATTTTCTGAAGATTTAGAACTAGTCAATTTTAGTAAATCAACATTTTTCTCAATTAGTCGGTTTCTTTATTGCAGGCAAATTCAGTATTTTTGTACGAAATCAATCAACAGAATTACCAAAACTTACTAAATAAAACTGCAATTTTAGCACAAACGATAATCAATTAAACAAACACAGTTATTCGATGAATACAAATTTTTCTTATTTAGAACTATAGACGACATTTGTGACGAATAGTATTGGAGAGTCTCGTACAAATAAATGGCAAAATTTTTACTAAAAGAAATTTGAAAGCTGTTAAGGTTGAGAAAATATTTTTTGATAGAATTATGGCACACTTATATAGCAAAAATTTATTTGTTGAAATAAAAGAAGCTTTTATGAATGTAAAAATAGTAATATTTTAAGCTAGAGAATCTTTTTTTACTACTGAATCTGCTGTTACAAAATTAAACGTTTGAAACTTGCATCCAAAAAGTTTCAAAATTGGATAGTTAATTGCAATAAGCAGAACCGATTAATAATGTCTAGAATTTCCTGCTTAAAATTTTTTGATCGTAAAATATAGAAAAAAAACTATGCCTTTTTCAAAAAATAATAAATAAATTTAATATCTATTAATTACTTTACTTTATTTTTTTTTTTTGAAAAGAC